CTTTTAGGATATAGAACTCTATAATATGCTAAGCACCCCCACACTTTTAGATATGTTAAATTAGGCTTTCTTTCTGTTCATAATTCATATGGGCATTTGTTATTAACTTTAGAAACAATTCTGTTATGTAAATGACAGGCTGTTAGGAGTGCTTCCCCCCACAGGTTTAAGGGTGCATTACCTTTTAACAGCATGTAGTTTATTATTTCTATAAGTGTTCTATTTTTCCTTTCAGCCAGACCAATCTGTTGAGGGGTATAGGGAGCAAAACACTGATGTATTATTCTAAATTCTTCATAGAAATAATTAAACTCATTTTTAAAGTATTCAGCACCCTTATCACTTCTAAGGATTTTAATTTTATTTTTTAGTTGATTTTCAACTTTAGTCTTATATAGTTTAAACATGTCAAAGGCTTCATCCTTAGTTCTCATAAGATAGACATAGGTGTACCTAGAAAAATCATCTATAAAGTTATGAAGTATCTCTTACCTCCTCTAGTTAATACACCATTGAGTTTACAAATGTCAGAATGGATTAGTTCTAGAAGTTGAGAATTTCTCTCAACACTAGGGAAATGTTTCTTAGCCATTTTTTATTTTACACATATTTCACATTTTTCAGTTGATTCATTACTGTAAACAATTATACCAAGTTTGTTCATGTTCTTTATGGATTTAAAATTCAAGTGTGCTAATCTATCATGCCATAAAGAGAAAGAATCAACAATATAAGCATAAACTTTTCCTTCATTAATATTTAATTTGAACATACAATTACAACCATATCCATTTCCAACAAATATCCCATTTTTTGATAGGATTAGTTTGTCGGATTCAAAGACAACTTTGAATCCCCTCTTACAAACAAGATTTACTGAAACCAAGTTCTTTCTAATGTCAGGAACATGGAGAACATTCAGGAGAGTCAGTATCTTTTCGGAGGTGAAGTTTAACTCTACGCTGCCTCTTCCAGCAACTTTGGCACATGTTTGGTTTCCCATCTGTACCTCCTGGCCATCAGTCACTTCTTCATATGTCTTGAACAAGGACTTGTCCTTGCAAACATGGACTGTGGCGCCTGAATCAAACCACCATCCAGAAGACGATTCTACCATGTTGACTTCAGTAATCATGGCTACAAGGTTGTCTTCTACCATGTTTGCAGACTTGGTTCCGCCTTTCCGATGTCGGTAGACTCGGGCATAGTGCCCCTTCTTTCCACAAACATAGCAGGATCCTTTCTTATTGTTGCTCTTTTAGAAGTTCTCATCCTTCTTCTTTACTTGTAATGCACGGTTAGTCTTTTTCGATCTGTTTTCCACAAAATTGATCTTAGAATTCAGCATACCGGCCAGGGTCTTATCCCTACTGTCTCTAAACTGAGACTCTTCTTCAATATGAAGGTGTTGCTGAATTTGCTCCAAGGTAAGTTCTTCAGCCTTGTGCATAAGTTTCTTCCTGTAATTCTCCCAAGAGGGTGGAAGTTTGGCAATGATTGCTCTCACTTGGAAAGATTCAGGAAGGATGATGTTAAGGGATTGAATCTTGTTGATTATCACCTGTAGTTCATGAATTTGCTCAAGTATGAGTTTATGGTCGTTCATGGTGAAGTCAAAGTATTCTGCAATAAGATACTTATTCGTACCTGCCTTTTGCACCTTGTATTTGAATTTCAGGGCCTTCCAGATTTCTTTTGGAGATGTAAGTTCATTGTAGAAGTTGTAGAGCCGGTCTGATAAGGCATTCAGTATGTGTCCTCGGCACAGAAGTGAGTTTTCTTCTCGTTTCTCTCTTTCCTTCTTTAGTTTCTCTGAGTCTTTGTCAGTGGGTTCAGGAAGTGATTACAGATTCGGATCCAGCAGATAGTATAGTTTCAGTGTGGTCAGAAAGAAGATCATCTTGTCTTGCCATCGGCTGAAATTTGCTCCATCGAACTGGTCTAGTCGAACAAGATCTTGGTTCATCATCTTGATCGAAGTCATGCTTGCTTCTGCCTCCATTGCAGAATAACGTTCTAAAATTGTTGGGGAAGATGGGGTCATTGTAACTTTTGAGTAGAAGCTCTGAGGCGCATCTGAAGACACTGTCTTTAGAACGTTATTTGCCCCCACTCAGTTTTACTGAGTTTGCTGTTGGGTTACAGGCAAATTCGTTCCCAGGATACAACAGGGCCTTGGGTGAGAATCTGCAACTAGCAAAGTTGAAGAGTCTCCAATGTGGGACAAGTTCAAAACTGGGTTTTGTAAGAGAAAAACTGATTTTCAATCAAGTGTGTAGGTGCAATTTCTCATATAATTGACCAATCAAACCCATTGGATTTAATCTCTTATGAGATTAAAATCCAACATCCTGTAGTTGGCAATGAAAGTTTTAATTTGCTAGGGTGGAGTAGCCTGAATGCTCCACCTCAGGTTTGGGTCTCGGCATGTCAAGTGTCAATATAGTCTTTTCTTACTATATATGTCAAAAGGGTTCCATAGCTGATAATTAACTAGTAAGGCAATAACCAATAGGGTTTAATTTGGATGGGTTGGGTTAGGTTGAGGTCAACAACACTGGCCCAACTCTAAGTTTCAAACCTTGGGCTTGGGCATGGGCGGCATGGCTCAAATCAAACTTAACCCAACACAACTCAGTCTAGGTTTAAGTGGGTTGATTGGGTTTGAAAGTTTTTCTTTAATCTCTTTTGTTCTTCCATCTTTTTATTGGGGTTTATTACCTAATTTTTTATTAAAATGGAGTAAAAACATGTATAAGTGCTATTGATAAATGTGCGCATACATATTTTGTACATTTATGCATATGTATATAAGTCACGAAACCGTTCCTTCTCTACAAGTCACAACACCGTTCCCTCTCCAGCAGATGTAATTCATGGTCAATTCCGTTCACAGTTCTCTAGCGGATGCAATTACAGTCTCTGGTAGTGGTTGTAATGTTTGGGCCTTTGTCGTTTTTTTGTGAATCTACCCCAATCATTTACTAGCTCTTTACAATCTCTTTTGGGAACCTCTCTTGTCATTTCTCTCGTCGTTTGTGGTAGATTGGAGTTGTGCTTATTTACTTCTGTTGGTGATTTTAAATTCACCTTTATTTGATTGTAGAAGTTCATTATGTTCTCCTTCATCCATTTATATATTTTGTTATTCTTGAGAAATTGTATATGGGTTCTGATTGGCATTGTCTTTAATTATATCAATTTCTTGAATGAATGAAATATGTTTTAAGCCTTAAAAAAATATGTATATCATACAATATTGGTGGGCTTGGACTACTCAAGGTTCTATCCAAGCCCATTTTGAACCAACGTCATGCCTAAGTTTTCTGGCCCAGTCCAGAGCCCAAAAGCTCAGGCTCGTACAAATGGGTAGGGGTGTCAATCGACCGGTTTTGGTTTGGATCTAATCTGATCCAAACCTTATCAAATCAGATTTGGACGGTCCATTATAATTATTGGATTGGATCAATCAAAAATAAATTAGTCCATATTCTTATTGGTTTGAATTAGACGTAAACCAAATTTCTAATAATATGATCATGAGGCCAAACCCTTGTCTAATTTAAAATCAATCAAAACTGAAAACAACATAAAATCACTTTTATGAACGTACTTTTATGAAAATATTTTTATAAAAGCACTTTTTTAAAAGTACTCTTATGAAATGAAAACACTTTATAAAAATAATTTTACAAAAGTACTTTATGAAAGCACCTTTGTAAAAATAATTTTACAAAAGTACTTTTACGAAAGCACTTTTATGAAAGTACTTTTATAAAAGTTTATGGAAGTACTTTCGAAAAGTGCTTTTACAAAAGTACACTTTTACAAAAGCACTTTTTCGAAGTACTTTCAATAAAGTGCTTTTGTAAAAGCACTTTTATGAAAATGTTTTTATCAAAGTATTTTTACAAAAGTGCTTTTTCAATGCTAAATATATTTTTATATAATTTTTGATATTTCATTCGGTTTGGATGAATCCAATCCATTTACATTTTAATGGATTGAATTGAATTTGGACTGGGTTGGGTCCGATCTTCTATGGGTCCCGTGGATCTCTCTCATTGGTTAAAGTTTTTTTTTTCAGACAATTACAATTATATAATATTAATGAGATAATTTTTTGATAGGCACGTGATATAATTATGCAAGGTAAAAGTTTCTCAATTATTGCCTATTTGCCTATCAAAGAAAACAGTAGAAGAGTTTCTTCATTATGAACTCAGGGGCATCGAAGCTACTGTGCATGGCTCGGGATTTTGCAATGTGGGGAATGATATGGCAGTTGCCAGTTGGCACATTTGGACCATCCATCCACCTAACCTAAGCGTTTAATTTCCTTAGATAACCTGAATCACTTTCAGTTTCAGCCTTTCATTCAGGTATCGAACAAATTCAACGTTAGCTAACTCCACGGGTGTACTATACACGGATACTGCCATCAACGTCCATACGGAATTATCCATCACCTGGGCCTCAAAACATTCTTTTTTGTTGACGGTGATGACAGTGCCACCTTTAACCTACACGAATGCCTACAAAACCACGAGATTCGTGCAACTCTCGGAAGCTTCGCCCTACAGACATGATGACTGATGAGTGATGATACTCTACGGCTTACCACACCTGCACGACCACGAGAGTCCTTTCTACAATTCTACTTCGACCCGATCAGAACAGGGTAGGCCCGTCCGGTGCCCCGACCCAAATTTGGATGGGTTGACCTTAGACGGTTCAACCCATGGGCCAGGCTTAAGTAGTACCAAACCCGCTGCATGGTTGCCAGGTAGACTGACGCAACCTGCTAATCGAAAAATGTTGGTTGGTTGGTTGTCGCTAATACTCGGACCATATTAGACGGGAGAGCATCTCTGCTCTGCACTCTGCCGCTGCTCATTTATTTTGGTTCTCTTAAAAAAAAAAAAAAATTAAAATATGCATCAACAGTAGTACAGTAAAAGCTGCCGCTGCAGTTGCAGACTTTGAATCACTTCTCGCATCTCAGTTCCCCCTTCTAAAACGCTGCGAAAAAGAAAAACGTCAAAATTCAGATTCAAACACAGAGAGAGAGAGAGAGACGCCATATCCGTCCGTTTCCGTCGATCACGTGCTCCACTCCCCCATCGTCCAATTATCATGTGACCCTCTCTGCTCTCCTCCGTACTCCCTCTCTCTCTCTCTCTATAGTTGCTTTTCTTTTTTACTTGCTTCAGTTTACTACCGTCTCTCTTTCTCACTGTTTCTTGGCTTCACTGCTTCTTCTGGCTGCTGCTGCTGCTGCTTCTGCTTCACAAGGAGCAGAGTAGAGAAAGAAAAGGTTGCATTGCCGCCAAAGTCTTCAGAGAATCGTGTCGGAGTTTTCTTTTTCGGTTACAGAAATACTCCAAACATTAGTTGAATCGTCCATGGCAGTCTAGGGTTAGAGAAATAGAAAGAACAGCCTTCTTCTATGTAGCTAAGCATGGGCTGCTTACAGTCCAAAACCAGCAATGTTCAATCTCCTGACGAGGAATCCTTACAGGCTGACAAACCAGATCTAGGTTCTTCTATTTTTTGATTTCTTTTCTTTTCTTTCTTGTATTATTTGATTAGTGTTTTGATATTTATTGGTTTCTTTTGGCTTTTTGGTATTGCCTCTGATCGTTGATGAAGCGAATGGAGATCAGGCGGAACAAGATCAAGTTCCGGCATTTAAGGAGTTTAATCTGACCGAACTTCGAACGGCAACCAATGGATTTAACACCAATAATATCGTGTCAGAGAGCGGAGAGAAAGCTCCCAATGTTGTTTACAAAGGAAAGCTTGAGAACAATCGGTTAGTTGCCGTGAAACGCTTTTCCAAACAGTCGTGGCCCGACGCTCAGCAGTTCGTTGTGAGTTCACCTGCTCTTTTGCTTCATATACTTCGTCTGTCAGCGTCTAGTTTGCTGCTTCTGTTGGTTCGTTGTGAGAACCGGGATGGACTTTGCCTTGACTCCTTTTTTTTATGTGTTGATGAATCTGATTGTTCACAGGGGGAGGCGGCGGGAGTTGGGAAGGTTCGACATAAGAGATTGGTGAATCTGATAGGTTGCTGCGCTGAGGGTGACGAGCGCCTCTTGGTAGCTGAATACATGCCCAATGATACTTTGTCTAAACATCTCTTCCATTGTATGCCATGTCTCTTTCTTTTTTTTCTCAGTTCTTTTTATCCCTCTAGTGTTTCTTTTTGAGCATGGAATCTCAGTTTTTATACTCTTTTTATTACTTTTATATGTATTACGATTTCGATTTAGTTTTAATAATGTTCATTAAAGTTAATTATCTTTTTTCTCATTAACGCACAATGAAATGAGGAATGGAGTATTATTTTAATTGAGTATAATAGTTGGTTTAGAATCGCAGTGTGAAGAAAGTTTGATACTCTTGGTTAACTCAGCCAATTTGTCTTTAGTTGTAGAGGCAACTATAAATGGCTAGAGAACTGGTAAGGCTTATATAAATTTGTCATTGAATCGGCTGAATTTTTCAATTCATATTGAATGTGGTATTGGGGGTGTAGGATACCAAATTCCATTGATCGAACTATTAACCATCATATAACGTTTATGAATTCATAATAGTAAATTTCACTGACTCAGTCGCAATTAGATTTCTTGCCGATATTAGTAATTGATGTCACATTCACATAATCTTTAAAAGATTTTGGGGCTTAATGGGCTGATGTTATATGTATTGACATTCAAAAGTTGGAATTTGTTGAAAATTATGACCGTTCCTTTTAAATTTTCAACAGCCATCATCCAAGTTTACTTTTAGAGAATGCTCCTTAGTCCTTACAGATGGAAGAGAAAGAACCAAAAGTGCTTTATATGGAATTGTGTCAAATTATTCTTCCATCTAGAGTGCAAAAATCTGTACATGGTTTGCTTCTCCAACTTAAAAAAGGGTACATGGCAATGTGGCATTTGGAGAGTTTATCCTATGCCAGTTTAAAACTTCTTTTCCAATTGTCTATTTCAAATTTGTTTCACCGTTACTGATGGATGTGCTTTGAAAGTCTGGATTCCAGAGAAATTTTTTAGTTCCTAATGCAGTGTGATGCACCATATATGTACATATATTTTCAGTTCTTGGCAACTATGTGCTGCTCACTTTTATTTAACTTGAAGTTTGTCTCCTGTTTTCCAAGTCCACTGTTTTCTCATGTCCTATATATCATCACCATGGGATGCTTGGTTTCCCCTAACTGCAGAATCCAACCCTGACTGCCTATGTGTTTGGTTGGTCATACACTGTTATAATTCCCATTCTTTGGTCATCTGAAATTTGTTGAAAAAGGGGAAATCCAAATGATTTATGTGTTGATGTTTTCTTTATTTGTTACATTCTTTTGCATTCCCATGTTTAATTTTTTTTTTTTTTTAATTTTTTGATAGGGGATAAGCAACCATTGCCATGGGAAATGCGTTTACGGGTTGCATATTATATTGCACAGGCACTTGATCATTGCAATTCAGAGAACCGGAAACTCTATCATGATCTGAATGCTTATAGAGTTCTCTTTGATGAGGTATAAAACTTTGCATATAATATTTTAAAAAATATGAAGTACAAAATTTGGATCAGGACAATATTTGAGTCTTTTTCTAAGATCATAAATACGAGTCTATGCTTCCAATTTACTCTTGAAAGGCTGTGGAGTAATTTCTTTTTTGGAGTTTGTTATTATTTGTTGTCTCTACTGATATTTTTTTTAGTTTGTCAGTTGAAGTGCCTTCAATTCACATGCATCAGCAGTCCAAAATAAAATTACTATTTTCAACATGTAATTTTTCTTTTATTAAGTTAAACATAGGCTTTCTTTTATCTTGTTATTTATCAAAACTTTTATTTGGAGGAAATTTTGGGTTCTGGCAGGAGATGTTCTTTAAGTTACAGATTCATCATGGTTATATCTCTTATTTTGGTGCTGTTAGTCCTCATCCATGTCCTTGCGGACTTTGTTGGTCTTCTATAATTCATGTTGATGGGGCTAATTAATTGAAAAAGCTATTCTTCTTGTTCTGCTGCTGCTTCTGCTTCTGCTGCTCTCTTTTCTTTTTTATTTTCCTCCTTGCTGTGGCCTTTTGGGGGTAATTGCACTAAAAGACTACTTAGATTTCTTGTGCTTCATACACTCATAGGATGGCCTTGAAAGTGCAAGTCCCAAACCGATTTTTGCAGATTGTGCTCACAAGTAAAAGCACTTTGTCTTGTATCATGTTTTATACTTGTAATTCAATATGGTTTTTCACCTTCGAGTCCTTTGTTTTTCCTAAATATCAGTTAGAGTTATGTTACCCTTTTAACTGCTCAAGTTATCTTTGCATTGTGTTAGGACGGGGACCCTCGTTTATCTAGCTTTGGCCTTATGAAAAATAGCCGTGATGGTAAAAGCTATAGTACAAACTTGGCATATACACCACCAGAGTTTTTGCGGACAGGTAAATATGCATATTCACCTACTTGAAGCCCGTGTTCATTTCAATTTGGTTATAAAATGTTTTTTTTTTCCTATTTGGATGAATTTATTGTTTCATATATGAAATTTGATAAGACATTCTCTGAGTTACATGTTATACAATAAGTAGTTATTTGATATTTCCATCTTCTGCTTACCTGGTAGTTTTTCTAAGTAAAAAGAGCCAACCATATTACTTGGTTGGTAGTATCTGTTGATCTCATGGTGCTTATCCTATCATGCACCTATTATCAGTAAAGAATTTTATTCTTCCACAACCCATCCTATATTCTTTTTTTTATTTTTATTTTTTTTGTAAAAGGTAAGGTAATTTATTCATTCAAAGAAACATTACAAATTTACAATAGAGCCCAGGCCATTAAAGGCTGCCTGGGACCACCTCAGACTACAATCTCATCCAAGACTGAGAACAAAACAACAGACGCAAATTTTGATGTTTAAATTCCTCCATTACCGATACCCAAGGCAATAACTTGCCCACATCTCTCTGCACTATTTCATCTGGACTTTTAGCTTTACCATGGAAAATTTTGTTATTTCTCAGTCCAAATAGCCCAAAGTACAGCTGCCGGAATGGTGTTCCAAACCAATTTTCCTTTCTTGCTGAAACCCTCAATTCTCCAACATTTCAGCAGCTCCTTCACCGAATTTGGCATTACCAACTAATTTCCGAGGCCTTAAGAAAGTGCCCCCAGACATAAGAAGAAATTGGGCAATGGATACACAAGTGCTCAGTAGATTCTGCATGAGTACCACACAAGCCACACAAAATATCCAGAATCTGAATGCCATGTCTCTCCAGATTAACTCTGGTCAGACATTTGTCTAGAACCATTGTCCAAACCAGAAAATTAACATCAGAGGGACTTGTTGAATTCCAAATCTGCCTGGCGGGAAAGTTGTTATTTTTTTCATGTACATGTGGGTGTTGTTATTTTTTGTTTTAGCATTGGTGCTGCTTTATTGTATATATACATTTTCAGAAAATGTTGCATGTGTCTTTAGCCCAACTTTCACATGGATTTCTGTGTTCTTTAACTCCTTACCTTGAATCATAATATTGGGACTAGCATTTTGGTTTTATGCGGTAATTGTATATAAGTTTGTTACTGAGGTACCATTAACTTGTTTCAACCATTTTTCTTTTTCCTCTTTTAAATGCTTCACAGCCACCGTTTTTAAAGTTGTGTATTTGATGGTCATCTTCAGTTAATTTGATTCAGTGGGTCTGCAGGCAGAGTTATCCCAGAGAGTGTAATCTACAGCTATGGAACAGTTCTATTGGACCTTTTGAGTGGGAAGCACATCCCTCCAAGCCATGTATGGTTTACTCATTCTGCATATGTTTTTTTTTTTTGGGTTTTTGTTAAAGGTCCTCAGGAACCTGCTTTTGTGATCTTCCTATTATTCACATATTTATTCTTGTATGCTGCCACAATCTTATGCTGATACCAGCATATGTGGAAGATATAAAAATGACTGAAACTAACAAACTACACATAAAAAAAAAACAAATTCAGCAACAGATGGTACTTTTGATTCTAATGATCCAAAAATGCCGAAGGATTGCTAAAATGGAGGGCACTGTTGAGGGAAAATTTTGCATATACAATATATAGGGTAGGTATGATGTTATCAATTGAAGGGAGTAAGGAGAGGGGATGGTGTGTTCACTTGGAGAGACTTGCAATTCTAATTTACAGTGTGAACTCTACTAGGACAAAGTGTGTTGCCTTTATATGCTTGAAATTCTAATTTAATGCAAGGTTTTTGTTGGTCTTAAAGTTGTATTTGAAGCTAGGTATAGTAATAGTAGCTGAAGTCCATTGATCTTGTTCTTTTCAGCTTTGATTTTCAGGAAATACATGCCTATCTTTTCTGCTTTTGTACAATAAGGTGTAAGCTTGTAGTAGTCCATAACCTACAATATTTCATTTGTTTGAAGCTTTACAATGCCCCTGTTTTCTGCAGGCATTAGATTTAATAAGGGGGAAAAATGTATTGTTATTGATGGATTCATCCTTGGAAGGGCAATATGTCAATGAAGATGCTACGAAGCTGGTTGAACTTGCTTCGAGATGTCTCCAGTCTGAGGCTAGGGATCGACCTAATACCAAGTTTCTTCTTACAGCAGTAGCCCCCCTCCAAAAGCAGATAGAAGTAAGAATTTTAATATTCCTAAGATTTATATTAAAATTACTATTGCTACCGATAAAAGAATGCTACTATTACTATTGCTTTGTGACAATCTGAGTCTGTACGTTGGTGTTCTAAGGTACTCTTATTTGGGTTCTATAGGTAGCATCACATGTTTTAATGGGTCTGGCCAAAAGTACAGCGCCTCTGCCAACTACCCTGCTCTCTCCACTTGGAAAGGCTTGTGCAAGGATGGATCTTACGGCTGTGCATGATATTTTGCTCAAAACAGGTTACAAGGATGAAGAGGGTGCTGAAAATGAGGTAAGGCTAAGTGAGTAAGTTGCTCTTCCACCATGTTTTTGTTTTCATATTTCATAAATGGTCACTTCACACAAAGAATGGTGATCATAGGCCTGAAAATGGTACCAAACATTGAAAGAAGAAAGGAGACCATAAGTTACCACTAAAATTGTTTCATCTACTTGGTGCTTTGACATACAACCTTATTCTAGCATTATATACCTATAAAAAGGTTTATCTTTGCTAATAATTGTTTATAAAAAGCTTTGACATGCAATCCTATTCACTTATGTCAAATAAACAAGTAAATAAAGGAAATATTATGTTGAAGTGTGTCCAATATGAACACTTCGTCTATTTAGGAGAGGCCTTGCAATATTGTGCACAACTTATTGTTTATTACCTATTCTTGTATCTGCTTTACATGATTATTATTGTTGGAATTATTACTTCTATGTAAGTTGGATTAGGTAAAAGTATTTACTATTATAGGTGATTTTATCTTTGTATTACTGTGTTTATTGCCTTAACAATCTTGTATCATTGGGTGTTTTGTGTACCAATACAAAGCTATCATTTCAAGAATGGACTCAACAAGTGCAAGAGATGTTGAATACAAAGAAATTTGGGGATATTGCATTTAGGGACAAGGATTTCAAGAGTGCCATTGATTATTATTCTAAGGTAATTATTATTTTACTTTTCTTTCAGTAGCCTCATTTTATATTGGGAGGTGTATTTTTATCTTCTCTTCTATTTGTTTACTATAAAACATTTTTTTACCTGTGTATATAATTTCCTCCACATGGTTCCAGTCTGATTTTTTCCAGGTTACTGATATGTAACATGTAAAGCACAAAAGGGTGAAAGCTCAAAGTCTTATAACCATTGAGAATGGTGGCTCTGACACCAAGACCTAGCCGTCTTTGTTTGCGCTGGTAAAAATAAAATTGGCACATGAAATTTTGAGATGGTCTATGGAGGGCTGTTATGAATTCACTGTATGCATCTAGTCAACATGACTCAAAGGCGTGGGAGGCATACGCCTCCAGGCAAGGTGCCCCCAAAACGCCCTGAGGCATAGGCTAGAGGTGCTGACACCTCTGAGGCATACGCCACAGGTGCAAGAGGTGTATGCCTCGTATGCTTTTTTCATGAGGCATGCTCAAGGCATATGCCTCGTACATCTCATGCACTTCTTGCACGCCTCATATAAAAAGACAAAGGAAAAGAAAAAAGAAAAGAAGGAAAGGAAGGGAAAGAAAAAGAAAGAAAGAGAAGAAAAAAAAGAGAGAAAGAAAAGGAAAGAATAGATAAGGGGAAAGAAACTAAGAAAGTTGGCTGGGGGCTCTGCACCCGGAAAGCCCCCCAGACCCTCCAGCCCCCCTCTTTTTCAATGCAGAGCCAGCCCCCCTTTCAACTAGTGCTATGCATCTTCGTTCTTTTTAATATACAAGGTTATTATTAAAAATAAAGAAAAATGAGATCCTCCTTCCTCCTCACCCTCCTCTTAAGGAGGCTTGCAACTCCTTGTGTTACGGAGGCTTATGCCTCTTATGTTCTGAATTACACCGTATGCCTCTAGGTAGTGGAATGCCTCGTGTCACGCCTCCACGTTTTAAAACATTGGACTCAACTATGGTAACTCATCCAAAACATCGCTGATTCTTTTGTTTATGTCTAGCTCATGAATAACCAATTTAAAACCTGTTTGGGAATAACCAAAAGAATGCATCTTTTCTATTTTGTTGGATTATCTTGTGCATTATAGTTAGATTCAATTGACTGTTGCTGTTTTATTCATGACTCTTTTTCCTTCTAGGTATTTTGAGTTGCCTAGAAAATTCCATGATTTATGTATTTGTTTGGTACAAATATAATTTGGATGACCTGTTGTATCATCAATTTCTGAATCATGTCTGTTTTTCCAAATGCAGTTGGTAGTGATGATGTCTGTGCCTTCTGCTACTGTATTTGCAAGGCGAGCCCTTTCCTACTTGATGAATGGTCAACCGGAGCTTGCATTGCGGGATGCCATGCAAGCTCAGGTATGCATGCCCGAGTGGCCCACTGCCTTCTACTTGCAGGCTCTCGCCCTCTCTAAGCTTGGAATGGAGACTGATGCTCAAGACATGCTCAATGATGGTGCTGCATTTGAAGCAAAGAAACAAAACAGTTGGCGTGGCTAAGGTTTGGGCCGGATGATGAACCATGATCTCCCTCACAGTCTGCCTTCTGTCACTACCATGATATTATAGAGGATTGAGGTGCGAGTCCCTTGCAATTGGACACAAAAAAACAAAAAAGAATTGGTCCGAATTTTGTCAGTTATTGCTGCTGGTCTCTACTCCTTATGTTGGGCGACAGAGATTCAGAGAGAGCAATGTATAGAATATTCTTGGGAGATGAAAATAATCAAGTAGTGAATTATCAAGACAGGTAGATGATCAATCATATTGGTAGAAAAGATGATAAATCACACTGACTGCCGCTCTCACTTGTGTCTTGAGGGAGGTGGGAGTTCGCTGTGAAGCAGAAAAGTTGGAAGAGGTTTTGTATATTTTGATAAGAAGAAACTTCAAATGCTTTTAAATATTGAAACAGAAGCTGCAAGATTCTGGACTTCAGACATCATGACATTGGAAATTTTCACATTTCCCATTCTCGTGTACTGGAAATCATTAGTCTCCTTCGGGGTTATTCAAGCCCTGGTTGTCTGATCCGCTGCCAGTGTAGCTGGAAGATGTAAGTTCTCTAATCTATGATTAAAGCACCTAACTCAATCGATCAATTTAGCCATGTAGGTTATCCATTAAATTACAGATATATGACAAAAGTGGACAGGATGGAATGGTCTAAAGCAGTAGAGCGTAGAATCAAAAGTAGGTTGGCTGGTTGGGTTTCATTGTTGGCAAAATCTGCAAATCCTATGGTACATTGCCATTTATTGCACCGTGAAGCAAAAGATGTGAACAAATGACGTCATTAAACGCTATTGATTGAAATCTTGATATTACAAGCAGAAAATCAAGACTTCTTTTTCAGTTTTTCTTGTTCTGCTGTTGAAACCCTAATTCGATCTCATTATCTCCCAAAGCAGAGGACTTTTTTTGGGTTTATCTTCTGCCTGGTTTCTTGTCTCGTGGTCGATGAAATTGAGTTCGTTTTTATTCTAGATTTAGTCTGTCATGTTGAATGCACTAAAAGCTGTTGAATGATAGGGACCAAATAAATATCCTTTATGTCCGTCACATTCCTCGATGTCAATTGTCAAATATGTCCCCCAATCCCCTGGTCTATCTACCCTGTGACTAACTCCAAAGCATGTTCTGGGATTCTGGTTCACAGAACCCTTTGGGTCTCACTAAGGCAGCGTTTGGAAATGATGCAAATATCTAGAGTGTAAAACAGCCCATATAAATTGCCAAGTTGGGTTAGTTTTGCACTGATAAATTTACCTTCAAATAGAATTTTAGCTGTAATGGATGTAAACACAAATTCCAATAAAGCATGTCTTTTTTATCAAAAGTTCACTTGAATGTAAATTTACTCCTTTTTATTGATGTACTTTTACGTCTTATTATTAATGTAAATATATATTGAAAAATGTGTTATTTGTTATTTGTCAATGCATAAGTGTAATGTTGTTTAACACAAGTGAACTGGAGTGCAAATTTATTCTGAATTGGGATTTACACTCCATCTTTATTAGAATGCCCATGCAAAAGACTTTTAAAGTTTTAATATTTAAGAGACGTTATGGGATATCAAATTTAAGAATTGTTAGGTAAATTTAAAGAAATCTCTATAAATAAATTAACGACATTAGATCTAAGTTTTAAATGAGGTTTATAAACATGAGAACCATATATTTTCATAATTGATTATCAATGAAAACCAACATAATTTATATAAAAGGTGAACTGTTAGGGCGCTATGTAGGGATTAATTTGCCCATTTTGAAGAGGTCTCGATGTCTCACACCTGGAGAGATGGAAATAAGGTCGTTCATAATCTTGCTCGTCTCTCACGACACCCATTTTGATTCTACTGCTCTCTACAATTTCCTTTATATCAACTATGATATCGGAAAAACTTCAATCAATCAACCGGTATCATAAAAGAGGGGACCAACCAATATTTTTAACATGATATCAGACCTTAATTGGCAAAGTGGTCTAATGTTTGATCCTTATCTTTCTCTTATAATTAATTAAATTTTAACACAAAATATGAATATATGTACTTGTTCACACTTCAAATTTTATAGGCTTTTATATGAGAGTGCATCCTAAAGAATAACAACATATTCAAAAACATCATCTAACAGCTTATTTGGCTTCATGTGTTGATAATCATGAGAAAATCCACTTGTTTTTCTTTCATTGTAATTTGTTGATCTTTCTTTCCTGTTACATGTGCATCTGCACATGCCACTCAACTAGTAGTAATGAAAATTCCTTTTTCTACCCCATAAAAGTATAGCCAATTGGAACAAAGTATGGTACATGCTTTGAATTTTATCTTCTATTGATAATTCTAAATTTAACATTTATGCAGAAGTTGTCAGATTTGAATTCTATATTTTTATATGATTATGACTTTCACACCACCAAATCTAATGTGATTGCAGATAAAGCCTAAATATTGTATATTATTATGCATGTTCAAAAGATAGAGTGAAAATCATTACTGACAAAAATATTTTATTTATTTATTTATCGTGGATGAGAAACGATGATGTTTTACTTTTCCCATCCATTCCCCATATATATATATATATATAGATAGAGAGAGAGATGATGCGTCCGATATATATAGAGAGGTGATCGTGCCCCTTGGCCATGTGCTTCACGGATGCCACAGTGGACCCATTCACAGGATAAGCGTCGGCGTCGGTTAATCGTTGCCATGCATAGGATGAGTGACGAGTCGGTTTGCCGTAGCCATGTGTGAGACGGGGTGTTGACGTCTACTAGTAATGACCATACACGGGACGGGTCTCGGTGTCGATTGGTTGTGACCGTACACGAGATGGGTCTCAACGTCAACAGGTCGTGGCCGTATGCCAGACGGACAAAGAAACCAAGAGCCTAAAAAACACATATTATAAACCGTACATCTAATTACTCAATAAAGTAAAAGTGAAATGAAAGAAACAATAACAAAAGAAAAGACATGTGCAAGAAGAAAAACGAATGAATAAAATTGGTAGCCCCCTCCCACCGAAAACAAAATAGCATAAACATAATTTCATTTTTCCTTTTCTAAGAGGGGGAATACACTAAACACACACATAAAACATGCCAATAAAAACAGAAAACCCAAAGAAAAAAAAAAGAAGAAAATACCACTTTGCATCATTGTTCCCATAAAATACTGAAAAAGATAGAGAAAACTAGTGGAATATAACAATCCAGAGTCCAGGAACCATAAAAGCACATATTACAAATCATGCATTCAACTACTTAACAAAGTAAAAGAATATTGTATAAAGTCTATCACAATACAAATACCACAAACAACGAAAATCACACTTAGATTGGCTTCAACTGATTCCTAAGGAAACACAAAAGGCAGACAGCAAGCAATAAGCAACCTAACCATAATAAAATTACAAGAGAAATGTAAAATATTACAAACCACAATGACTTACCCCCACCAAGAAGTAGTAACGGAGCGAGTATTGACATTAGAGGAAAACTGAATAAGAAAGAGGGGGGGATAAACAAAAAAGAAGAATGAAAAGTAACTATTGAAATTAAAAAGGGAGCAAGTATTAAAAATATACAGAGTCCTGAATTAAAGGCTAAAATAAAATAATGAGCGAGTTGCTATAGAAAAAACAAACAAAACAAAATAATCCAAGTCCTACTGGTATTAATTATGAATGAAAAGAAAATGCAAGGAACCTCTGTAGAGCACCAACCAAGCAATTTTGCCTCATTTCCTTTGCCCATTTTGTGCCATTGCACTACCTCACCACCTCAGCATCTACTTTATGAATATATAGCTACCCATCACAATAGAATGACAAACTTTTTTTTTTTTTTTTGAAAATGCAATATACATAGATAAATAAGAGATATAATTAATTAGTACAAAGCACATAAAGCAAATGAGGAAGATTTACTTTGACACATACAATGGTTGATATGATTTCTTCAATAACCAACCTATTAAAAAAATAGGACTTCTTTAAGAACAATATTCTTCAAGGAAATATTCGACATTAATCCAATATCCACTAATAGCATAAGGTAATTTCTTAATAGATAATGATATGAACTTCTCCAAGTACCTTGGATACTCGGGATAGAATTCTAAGTTGTTGTTGTTGTTGCTGCTATTGTTGTTCCATCCTTGAATCTACAGTGGCCTATAAACACCGATCATTCAAACTAACAATAAGATTGTTTTTCTTCACTTGTAAATATTTGAATCAACAAAATGTACACAATAGTCATCACACCATCTTCTTTAATGCCCATCTCAATAAAAATGTGATTGAAGCTTCCATTAATTAATAAATTACCTATTTCTTCAAAAAGAAAAAAATGTAATTTAATCAAACAAAAAATTATGATTTAAACCTCAAAGCAAAAACAAATAACAACCCAATCAAGCCTAGAGAAACAAATAGAGAGAATAGAAAGAGCCAAGATAAAAAAAGAAAAAAAAAATAGTTTTCATTTTTAAACAGGATGGGCTACCTTGTCTTTGTTTGCTTTTTCCATTCACTAGTAAATCACCTAATACACCATTTTCATAAATCACCAAATACAAAGTATCAACAATCAAGTAATTTCAGCCAAAAAAAGCCTAAAAATGACTGGTGCTATAGCAAATTGGTGTAAATATTAGAGTGATGGCAGGGTGAGATTGAAAGACAATTGTGGGTAATGATTCTTAATAGTTAAACCATTAAAAACATCAAAGGGAGAAGATCTTGGTTGCATGTAGAACTTACCTAACGTCTCACTAGTTAATCGCCCAATTTTAGGACATGTCTAGTAATATGTACATGGTCCAATGCAATTGAATGTAGGTTTCTTTTAACTATACCGACTTTTATTTGGACTTGATTGGGGAGATCATTTTGCTATACTTTGTTAATTTTGATGTCCCAAGGTGTACTTTAGTGCATCGCCCATTTATGTTGTTCTAGGTTGGGATTTAGAATTGACCTTCATTACTTTGATACGAAAACCTTAAAGAATAATTGCAAGGATCGTTATCCAAGAGAATGGTTATTCACTGCCTTTCAATGGAGCAAACTGCCCATATATATACAAATACATCAAAAATAAAAATAGCAAGAATAAAAATTAGCAAGACTAAAAATTAGCAACTTCCTAAAACTCTAACTTCCTAAAAGTTTATATGCACAAAATTAGCAACTTCCTAAAACTCTAACTTCCTAGAAGTCCATATGCACAAAATCTTTCTAAATATCTTACAATATCTCTATTACTCCCCCTCAAGTTGGAGCATGTAGGTCATGTATGCCCAACTTGCGAAGAAGAAAATCAAATTGTCATCGGCCAAGTGCCTTTGTCAAAATGTCTGTTAACTGATTATAAGTCTGCACATGAGCAATCTCAAAAGTCTGGTCTTGCAAGGCATCATGAACAAAGTGACAATCAACCTCTATATGTTTGGTGCGCTCATGAAACACCGGATTAGCTGCAATATAAATAGCGACACAACTATCACAATGCAATTTCATAGGTCTGGGATGTTCCACCCCAAGGTCACGTAGAACACTCTTCAACCACTTCAGTTCACACGTCGCGGCA